TTGCCTCGCCTCACATCGAATTGACTATGCACATTGTAATAATTCGAATATTAACAAGTACATGACAAGAATATGTGATTCTTCTGTTGTTGTTCTAAAATCTTCGCTTATCTATGCACATCTTCAGAAAGAGCAAGTTGTCATTCACTTTCTTTTATTTAGGGGTCATACTAGTTAAACAGAAATGCTTGCTCAGTAGGAAAAGGAACGATAGAAAATTCAAGCAAAAATAAAGGAATGAAAATACCATTTTCCCTTTCCAAGACATACGATTGCACGCCATTAGCAGCGAGTAGTAGGCAACCAAAGACCCCAAGAATCTGCAATTTCGTCATAGTAGTCGTCAGTAACTTCTTCGCTTGAGGTGCCTGGAAGAAATGCTTTTTATCCCTCTCACACAATCAAGACAATGATCAAACTAGTAATTAAGTGTAATCTAAGATCATATAGGTCAAAAAGACTTAGAGAGGGCGGTCTGTTTTTTCGCCTTTTTTTCATTTTTAATGTAAATAAGTGCAATCTCTTCATAAATATTGTCCTATTAGTAAAATATTAGTTAGAAATTTCGCAATCTGACTGGTTATTACTAGCCATAGATAGCAAGCATGGCGAGAAAAGTTGTGGGATTTGTCTTGTAAAATTTCGCAAACAAAAAAGAAAAGGAAGAAGAAAAGAATGAATCTCGATTCTTACAGAATTTAAGTCCGTTAAGTATTATGTTTATGGTCCCGTCCCATAACTGTTATTAGAATACAGAGAAAAGTATTTTTCACTGTGAACTTATCAGAACCAAAACATATGTTCTTTGTTAATATTTCTCGAACCTTTTTTTTCAATTTTCATAAACAGGAAACGTAGCTGTGTAAATAAGTCTATTATTTTATCGCTTTTGATTCGATACTTGAAAACCGTTATTCAAACGTATGCACACTAATTATCACAACTTACAAAACATGGCTTTAACTTGAATTTTAACTCAGAATACTACATACAAACGATGGAGGTCTCTTAATAACCCGTGCCTTATTAACGTTAACAGATATATATTATTTTATAACAACATAGCATTCCGTGTCAGCCTCATAGTTTTCTAGACGTTCAGGTCGTGGGAAAGGCATGAAGAGATGTGAGCGGGAAAAATAGTGAGGGGTCAGCCGCTCTCTGAGTTGGCGCGACACTTCACGATCTTATAATTAACGCCTGGATTGTTTATCTGTATGAATTTCATGAATGCCGAGAGTGCAAAGTGTAGTATACGTACAATGTGATTCCAAGGGCAACATGATGGTATAGCTTTTTAAAAACAAAAACAAAACAAAGCAAAAAAACAAGCATTTCTAGACGGGGGTGGGAGTGAGGAAGCTAAGAATATAAACAGTCGAACCCCGCTATTTCGATGTCCCAAGGGAAATGGAAAAAAGTTCGAAATAGCAGGGTTTCGAAATAACCGGGGAAGCGTAAAGGGGAAAGTTAAATCCAAGGGAATTGGATGTTCCTTCGAAATAGCGGGGACTTCGAATTAACCGAGTTCGAAATAGAGGGATTCGACTGTATTAATGTTTTGCAATTAACCCAAGATGCTTCAATTTGCCCAGTTTTTTTACATTTAAAATTTGATCTGTTTGTTTTCTTTCAACTCTCTCTATATGTTGATATATATAATTTCATGCAATGATTAGAGAGCAAAGCCGACGCGTGACAGGACAACTATCTGAATAAGCTGTGTCCATTTTTCTTTTCAATATTTTTTTTTTTCCTGGTCTTGCTTTAATAAACATTTCCTGTGAATACCGTATCTTAAAATAGCTCGCAAATCCTATGTTTGAGTGTATCTTCCGTTTATCTCAAGTACCGTTCTTAGGGCCTGTTTACATGGAGGTGGGGGACCCCAGGCAGGTGAGGTAACCCGCTTAGGTGGGGTAACCCGCCATGTGTCCATATAATCTCTCATTTTAATTTGATCACGTTTACATGATAGGTGGGGTGACCGTCACATGTTACCTCACCTATCTGGGGTCTCCCACCTCCATGTAAACAGGCCGGCCTTATTTTCCTCTAGAATCGTCCAGAATCCCTCGTTCATAAAGGATCTCAGAAAAATTTTCTGAGGACCCTTTAATGACTTCGAAAATTCCAGTCCCTTGACTTGATGCAACCTTCTACGGTTAAAATAGAGTTACTGTAAAATAATTAATTTACGAACAAACATTTATTTTGCTCTTGTAGTTAAAGAGGAAATTGACTTACGTCACTCATATTTACTGTGCATGTGCCCAGAAACACTCATCTCACTTTCAGCACGAGAAGAAAAACTTCGTATCCCCGCGCGGCCATGTAATGTTCTGTTTATTTTATAGATACTGATGAAATTCCTACATAAAACACAACTTTTTTGAAAATTCATTTTCTAAACAGCAAAATAGTGCAATTAAAGTGGTCACCTATCGCAGAATGCCTGTCACAAAAATGTTGTCGGATGTAAAGTTATAAAGGAGAAATAAAGAAAATAATTGGCTAATCATGTTAGTAACCATGGCAACACCAGTATGCTCACACGTGATAGATAAAAATAGTATCTTCACTGCGCGCGATGAAGATATGATTTTTTAGTAAAAGGAAAAATCCTGGTATTTCATCAGTATCTATATAATGAAATGTATTTTTTATCATGGCTTCAAGTCTAACGATATAGTAGACGATCAATAACATTAGCCATCACGAGAAATGAGTACACTCTATAACACTGATGTAAAAATTGTTCAAATAAAAGAAATTGTCACGTGCTTTTAGTGTCTTGCGTGTATTAATAAGCCCCTCGGCAAAATTATTGTACAGTAATTTTGAATAATCCATTGCATTTTTTTTTAATTTTTAGTGTTATTTTACACTGCCCAGAACTTTGGTACTGCGATAAACTAATACAGTTAAACGGCTTATGGTTAGACTAAGCTTGCATATCTCGCGCCGACGCGTGCATGAGAGTGCTAGCTAGCTAGCTAGTTGAAATACTTGTAAAAAGTTGAATTGGTCTGAATTAGTGAGGTTGTTAGTGAAACTTTTGTATAATAACCTTAAAAAAAGGCAATCTGACAAAGTAAAAAGTAATTATCTTGAATAAAATTCTAAGCTTAACGTCAAAAGCAGTTGGCCAGGTTTGTTCTCGCAAAAGATGTCCCCTGCGAGTAGGCTCACCTGTGTCCGAGTTCCGGCAATGAGCCTCTTCTTAGCAACGCAAAAGAGTGCTAAGAGGCTTGCGGCTCGTGTTTACCACATTTTGAAGTCTTCTGTGATCTGTTACTGAACAGACTCACGGCAGCATTGGAATCTATTTGTTAAATAGACCACGGAAATGGAAGCAAAATGTTCAAAAGCCAGGTTGAACCAGACAGCCTGCTTGCTTTCACTGCGAACTTCTTTTTTGTATGAATCAATGAGCATTTTTTTAACGTTCACGAACATCATGGAAAAAAGGCTGGAATATTCGTAAAAAAGACGTTCAACTTTAGATTGGTGCGTGGGGAGGGAGTTGGATAAGTCACACTCTAAATCAGAAAGATCTGTTTTAGCGCTAAAAACAGGGCCGTTTCGGTGAGTAAAATACAGTCCTATTTTTGGGTCTAATTTGGCTCCCTTAAATCAGGGCCAATACAGTCCAATTAGCTAGGGCTTATTTGGTCCCAGGGCTGAAATGGGCCCTACGGTGGGCTGGAATAGCCTTTTGATAGAGCTTTTTTGGCCTAAATTGTGCTCAAATGGCTACAAGAAGGCTGAATCAGACTTTGGCCTGCAGGGCTGAATTGACACTTTGGGGCTGAAACAGATCTTTTTAGTTTACAGTGCATTTCCATGGTGTACATTGTATACACACTCACAACTGATGAGATTACGACTCGACCGGTTACTAAAAAAATCATCTTGAGCCGCATTTGTCACCACCACATGCATCAGTTAAGAAATGAAGTACTTTGAATACTTTGATGCTTATTGTAATTTAAGAGGCCTACGTAGTTGCTTCATAGAATACTTCGATTTCACTTGGTATAAAGTAGGTCTGTGGAAGGAATGAATACTGAGGACAAGGGTAGGAGTATCCACATCTAATGGTCGAATTATGTCTCCCGTTATACAGCCTTAAATCGTGTCCACTACCAAACGCGGCAATATACCAGTAACAGTCATAGATGGCGTGGTTATTTGTTACTGCCAGTTTCTCCGGAAAGGAGCCGTTAGTGTTGTACAGCGTAAACAGAAACGCTTTACTATCACTCCTGGAGTTACAAGAATTCGAACGTCCACGCACACCTGTTAAAAATAGTACATGAACAAACTCTTATCAGTACGTATTTAAAGAACCATACAGACTTAACCTGCGAAATATAGTTTTATGCGTAGCTGCTGTCAAAAATATATTAATACGGCAGTAGATAACTATTGTGGCTTCTTTCGGTAATTTTAGCATTTTTGAGCAATTTTCTGTGTACATCTCCATAAGATATTTTTCTTGTTGCTACAATGGTCCAACGACTTTTAACACTCCCCCTAACGTAACAGAGCTTTCTTTTCTTCCACATCGGTTCTCACTTTCACGCAGCGCAACTAGGAAAGTTTTAATTCCGACACGGTGCAATATGTAAGTGAATTCGTAAGTAAACCCATTAGGCCACGACCCTTAAATTTTAGCTTTTGGGTTAGCTTTGTTCACGTGACGAACATCAAAAGATTCACCCACCTGGGCACTTAACTTCGTTAAAAAAAAAGAAAAATGAAACCAGTGAAGAGAAAAAATGTTATGATTTTACAGATATACAAAAGTATCATTAAAAACTATTACGGTCTTTTTTCTGCCGTTAAAACAAAACAAAAAAATCCCGTAAAAATTGATTTCGCTTTTATTCAATGGTAGTTGTCCTGAATGACTGTAAAAATATACTGTAACGGATTCTATTGAAACATTTACCTTTCCACGAAATGCTAGTGTAACCACCAAAGATGTAGTCCCCATACCGGACAATAAAAACGGTTGGACCCTTATTGTAGCACGTATAATGGAAGGTTTCAGAGTCCCAACCATGAACTGATGCCTGGTAACACTTTTTCCATCCTACTGAACCCGACGTGAGGACAGAGTCCAGGTAGGATATCAACTGGTCGATGTATGTCTGTCTCATGTCAGCATCCCAGCTCAGGATAGTCGAGTTAACAATGTCCTCTGCGCAATATAACAAGAATCAAAATAGTTTTTTTTTTTTACCTTAAGCACAAGCTTTCGATTTCTTCCTGGACACTTTATCAAGTAATGGATTTTGACATAAGTAATATAGAAGGCACCGAATTATTCGGGTTTTTTTATTTAATTGCCGCTTTTTATATTGAATGGAAAGCACGTGCACATTATCGGCTCTACATCGACCCCACAGTAATTATGTGTCAACCTTCATTTCAACACGGTTTCATTATAGTGAAGCCATATACCACCACCACCACCACATTTCCTTTGTTTTCCCTCCTCCTCATTTTTACTGTCATTACTCCTCGTCCACCTCATTTTCCACTTTTCTTCCTCCACTACCACCACCACATCAGCATTTTTATTGTTTTTTTCCTCCACCACCACCACAATTTTAATTGTTTTTCCTTTACAACCATCACTTCACTTTAAATTAATGAGATTCGACCGCATCTTGTTCATGAGATACAGACACAAGGCTATGACGTCAACTTAGCTGATATTATTGTATTTTACACAAAAGTTGATTAAACCCCAAACACCCAGGTCATTCGGTCAAAATATACTACTGACATTTATTCAATGTGATTTTAGCAAAAAATGCACGTGACATATTCCCGGCTTCCATCCAGCCCCTTTGATCGATCACCAAGTAACCTGATATGGTTTCGTTCTGTAAATAACATTCCGGGGGGCGAGGCGAAACGAACAGAGAGCCTGATACAAACTTTCTACGAAACGTCTGCTGCCATCTTTCTTGATTAATTGACATTTGCCGAATCAGTCAACTAAAATTAGCTTCCTTTGCAAGCTTCTTTTAGTGTGCAAATTTTTCATACGCGGGAACACAATACAGATTTGCTGACTTGAAAAATTAGCTTTTGCCTTTAACTTTTTTCAACTAAAAATAAAACAGTCAGTGCAGTCATATTAAACTTCTAGCGAGATTAAAGGAGATCTTGAGATTTTTTCTGTTGGCGTAGAAGGTAAAAAGTTTTCAAAAAGAAGGCGAGACGATCTTCTCATTTTAATATTTTTGGCTTGCCGCGCTCGATCGCGCTCGCCTGGCAGTACTTTCGCTCACGGGGCCTCCCCAGCTCCTGGGACCGCTCCCCCTAAGGAACGTAATAATATTGTTCAACATTAGGACTTCGCCAGTCCAGTAGAATTTAGGTAACACCCGAGAAAGTAGGCGGCATATCAGAGAACTTTAAAGGGCCGCCAAAAACTTAGCTATATCATTGTATTCCGTGATTAGCACAGTAAATCATGATAATTATTATTATTCCCGAGGAAGTAGGCTGCACACATTTGAACTCTATAGGGCCGCCAAAACCTCGGGTCCTTAGATCTTATTTCTTATCTCTCCGAAATTCCATTGTAACTCGGGGGCCTGGGTCCCAGTGACCGCATTCCACTAACCCAGCCCCACCCTGCCATTTCCAATTTATTCAAACTACACTTGATTGTAACAACTTTCTGGCAAGAGAGAATGAATGATCTAAGAGAGCAAATACCCCATACATGACCCTCTTTCCGTGAAAATTATTTTCAATCTATTCTAGGTTCTGTGTCATACTGCGTGGTTATTTTAAGGACGCCACCTTATTGGTCGGTTAGAGTGGCGTCATGTAATTTTAAACTTGGCAGGTGATTTATTTCACTGCCGATCACGCACAGCAGGCGATATGACGTGCAAACTTGGTATTACTTTCGTCGACGAGTCAAAAGATTTATACGTGGAAAAATCTGGCCAGAGTAGCTGACGAAGAGCAAAACGGTCCTTGCTTGTGAGAGTTCGCTGGAGAAAGCGGTTCCGACTCGGCGAAAACTGCTTATTGCGGTCTTCCCTACATCAATATATAAACAATCAACATCCTATTGCAAAAACGACAACTGTCTCGTCCGGCGACATCCACGATTACCCGCGAGCTGTGATAACGTCGTTTGGATCCAACCGTGGACACGTAAGGAGAAAATAGGTTCAAAGTGGGTTCAAACATAATGTTTGGCCGCGAAGTTTGTGAGGACGCTAGACAAATGTGGGCACACCGCTCACTGTAAAGAATTGACCGAAACCGGAAACTGCGCATCAAAACTCTCTAGCATCCAGGTTAGAAACTGTTTAACAGCTTGAAGCATCTGACCTGATTTGTGTTTGCACAACGAAATATTCATCGCAAGTATTAGACGTTAAGAAGAAGTAGTGCAGTTTGAAACGCTGAAGAATATTTCTTAAAAGCAAATGTACTGTTTCTGAACGAAAAATATTCCTGGAAAAAGAGAAAAAAGATCTTGCACATTTGCATAAACAATTAAAGCCAGCCACTAATTAAAGGTTTCGTGTTTCGCGCGTGATAACCTTTGCCGCTGGCTTTCACTTTGTGTCAGAATTCAATATTCGTCACTTTAAATGAGGCTTCCGGCCGTTAGAAAATCTCAATCTTTAATCTCAAAGTGAAATTTTGACTCAATACTGCAATCCCTTTGTAAATGAAATTCATTCCTTAATTATGAGCTGATCAAAAACATGTCAACAACAGGAGCCGATTAGTATCGGCTCCTGGCGCTAATTACTATGGGTCACGGAAACAGCAGACAAAAATAACCTTCGCAGCACGCGCGCGAACTTCAAATAGATTTAAAAAAATTATCATGGGGCAGAGGGATTCGCTCTCATAGCTCATTCTCTCTTGCTTTCTGGCGATCTGTAAATAAATTATTTAAAGAAAAAAAAGTACTGTCTGCAGATACTTTATGTATAAGTCCAGTTAAATATCATCTGCCACCTTGAGACGAAATGACACAACTAAAACTGCATGAAACAGGCAACGAGCGAAACTTTCTAGAAATGAAACCAGTTTTAATTATGGACAGTATTTAGACTTGCGCTCGTTTATTCGTAACTCAAAAGGCACCTTGTTGGAGGTTGACAACCTGCAGAGGTATTCGACTCCGCGATACATTCACATTTAGTTCCGTAAATTAAGCAAATCCTGAGAACATATGCACAACCATCTGAATTTTCTGAATACCCATGGCACATATTTTAGCATATTTTCCCGCTACAAGACCGAAAAACAATAAAAAAGACAGCAAAATCCTTATCTCTCCGCTGACGGCGGATCATTCGCGAAGATTTTTGAGTGCTACAGCCATGCAAGGAATAAGCGCTTTCAACTTCCAGTGATTCCAACAGCCAATCAGATCCTATGACATTGTTCTATAACAGCCAATTAGCGTTGCGGCCAAAATCTGGCCGCAGCAAGCACATGCGTGAGAGACTTTGTATCACACTCAATTTTAGCGCGACTACGCAAGAGAGAATATATGAGAACTGCTAAAATTGGGCCTGATCTCAGGTTATCGCCGAGAGATCATGTCTTCATTTAGAGGGCCTGGCAATGGATTTTGTTGGCCTTTCTAATTGTGTGTGGAGATTGCAAGTTTGCAATGTTAAACTTTGCATTTTCCTCGAGGTAGATGAGCTTCTTAAACTAGATACGTGAAATTTATTTCACACGAGCAAAAGGACTCAGACTGACATATTAAGCTATTATAATCAATTTTACTTCTGATCCCCTAATAATTTAAACTGTCCTATCTGTGACACACAAAAAAGTCCATTTATGGTCAGGCCATAATGAATAATAATAATAATAATAATAATAATAAGGTAGTATAGCATTTGAATAAGGGTTAAATCAGAAACATTTTCATAGACGTACCTGGTGGAGCTTCTTCATTGAATACTTCAATTTCGTCTGGTTTGAAGGAAGTTGGGGAGATAAGTGGGTAGTTTGCACAAGCATAAGCGTGACAGCCACTATTGGCATATGAGGTCGTACTAGTTGGTTGCAACCTTAAATCCGATCCAAATCTAGGAAAGTTTGAATGGCAGTCATAGATAGCATATTGGCTCTCCGTTAATGCCAGTTTCTCCGGGTAGTAGCCATTGGTGTTATGCAGGGTGAAAAGGAACGATTTAGTATCCTTTCTGTATCCACATAAAACGTAGATTTTACCTGTTATTGAAAGAAAAAAGATTACAAAATAAACAACATATAATAGTTAAAATCACAGTTTCAGGGGGGAGGGGGGAGGAGGTCCTCGACGTGCAGCAAAAGAAACCCTAATATATGAGATCAAAACTCAAGTGGAACAACGAGCCGCCTGTGCGTGGTTTCACTGCAAAGCTTTGAATATTTTGATAACAGTAAAGACCATGGAGAACTCTTTCATATTTGTCCTTTGCCATTACAGTTTCTCAGGAAATAGCGTGCAACAAGGAAAAAACACAGATTGCACCACCCGGCATAACGTCATTTCCACGGATGGTCTACTTATCAAAATAATAGAAAAGAAGAAGCAAAGATGAAAATTAGCCACTTTGGGACTTTTAAAATGTACTTTAACTAGCACAAATCCTGAAAAGTAAAGCGGTACGAGGCAAGTTTGTGTATGTCTTTTTTTTTTCTTCACTTTCTTTGTAAAAAATAAAACAAATAGATTCATGTTGTAGTGGGTCTGTTCAGTAACAGATAACATCTATGACGTCAAAATGTGGTTTTCTTCTTTATCTTACTTGTATACAGTTTCTGTGGAGAGTTTTCCAACGCCTTCACTTGCTCAAAGTAGAATGATCGCGAAAACATTTTGCAAAACTGTGAATCTGATCTCTCTTAGCGACGACACACGATGGCAACTGTTGTGAAGATTTCTTGTAGTTTAGGCATCCTCCAGTTGTCAGGAGCTCTTTTTGTCTCCATTCCTTCGTTTTTCTTCTTTGGAAATAGCTCCTGCTAAACTTTAACGAAGCTTTCACTTGCTAAATCCGAAATAATCTCACAAACATTTTTAAAACCGCGCGCCAGGTTAAACAAAACTTTTGTGACGCCATCCATGCATAATGCACTGTAATAGATCATGAGCAACGACCAATCACAGCGCGCGTAGTTCGCATCATAGTATAAAATCTTATCGTGCATCAAAAGCCCTCGGCCGATCTGATCGTGAGAAATCGCTCGGTTATTTTAGACACTAAGTCACTACCTCTGGAGTGAACAAAAGTGGTCAAAACTAGAGCAAGTCTGTTACGAGAATGGGCTCTCATAACCGACCGTATACAACAAAAGTATGGAGGGCAAGTCGCTTAGAGAGCTTTCGAGATTTTTTTTCCTACTGATTATATTTGAAGCATTAAGGAACCATTATTTGGTAAATGAGTTACAAATGACTCTTATTAGTCAGTAATTCAGTAAAAGGAATCGGTGCCAACTATGCTGTATCGCAATTCGGTTTAGTGACAACTAATGGAACATATTTTGCTCGCATAGCGTTATTTGTTTCGGACAACAGGTAACTAGACGCTTCAACTGGGTACTTCAAAGCTGCACAAGGAATGACGGAATTTACAGAACTATTCTCAACAACCGTTGTTATCGGATTTGCTTTATTTGTTTATCATTTCCAAACAACGCGTTTTAAAAAGAGAATTTCATTCTATAGCAATACCGCTGAAAACAAAAAGGCGTGATGAGGAGGTTTTGAAGATGTTCAAGTCTAAAAAGTATCGCACTTCTCGCTCAAATTTATATCTTAACCTTGATAAAACCTTGCAGGTCTTGTTTTAAACTTTAAAAAAACTCAGGAAGAAATTAGAAGGTATTGAAACTACTTGGGCCGACTATTTAAACGAAGTCTAAGTTAATTTCAATCCAAAAAGAACATGAGTTACAAAGTCGTTAAGCAAGAAAGTCTAGCGGAGGAAAAGCTTTTAGTGATCTTGAAGTTATTATTTGCAGGAAATTAAAGAAGCAAATGACATGAAAAAGGACAGAAAACAAGCGTAGTCAGGGGTACAGTAATTTTCGAACGCCCCCCCCTCCCCCCCCAAAAATGATACTTTCTCTTGGTATATTTTGCAAGTTCTCAGGGAATGACAGTGAATGTTCTTTTCGTTTCGCGATAGCCATTGAAACCTTATGAATGGTTCAGTGCATGCAGAAAATACAGAAACACCAAATAAATGGCCAATGACCTGCTCCAAAGTTCACCCCTGACAAATGTTGTATAAAATCTCAGCAATAAAACTTGTAGCCACGTTGTAAGTTGCAGACCTCTCCCTGTATAGTGTTGAAAGAACTTTATCCAAAATTTTTAAGAGGTCAGTAAACCGAGTCTTTCTAAGGCGAAAACGCAATCGGAAATCGGAAAGGGTAAAATCTGTCCCTAAGGTGCAGAATTTGTTGAACATGTATATATTGTGTCGATCGTCGTGGTCTGCTTTCTTCCTAACTCTCTGTTGCGCAATATTCCCTCTATTTCAGGTCATTTCAAAATGGATGCCCTTGAAAAAACCGTTAACAACGTTTAAACCTACCTTTGAGCAGTTTAATGTTAACTTTCTATTGTTTCTTAGTCGGTACTAAGACACCGTCTAAACAAGGTTACGAAAGAACAGCGTTTAAATAATTACCCTGCGAGCAGTGGTTTGCAAGGCCGGACGCTACGCTTCGAACCACCGCGAGCAACCGTTTGCTTTTCCATCGAGCATGCGCGCCCACGTGATGACTACGAATATCCAACGAGAAGACGGCAACGAGAGCTTCAGCAAAACAATAGGTTTAATAAGCAAAAAAACAACTTTGCACGTGCATCACGCTTTTATTTTTGTATTTCTTTGCCATTTTTGCCCGACTACGACGTGAAGATGCCTAATTTTGCGTTTTATGGATATCGTAAACAAGCAACGACGAAATTTATTCTCCTTTTCGCTCTTGAACTTGGACATGGTCCCTTGGAATTCAACTCCATTTGGAATCGCCTACATTTGACAAAGTAAGTAGATAGGCATAAATAATCCAAAGAAATACTGTATATTCACTGCAGGCTCGCGTTAAGGCAGCAATTGTATATAAGCGTAAGCAAAGACGCGAGAGCCTAAACTTGCTTTCAAACAGGATTTACATGTTTAAAGTTAATTTATTCGTCCATAGCGCTGGACGGTGGCTCGATCAAAGAAGCAGACGGATGCTCGCAGTGGTTTCTCTCCCTTCGTAGCGTATAGCGTCCGGCCTGGAGAAACCACTACTTGCAGGGCATTAAATGATCGGTATTCATAGTTTAAACATGGGTTGGAAGGTGACTTTCATAAACACTGTCTAAACTTGGTTTAAATAACCGGCCCTTTTTTGTTTCTGCAATAGTTTTTTTCAGTTTTACTTTGTTCTCGATGTTGTTGTTGTTCTTTTTTGATGCTTTGCAACTCAACGTCGTTAAATTCAGTTTAACTCAGACATCATCAATGATTCTCTCCTGTCAGCTTACCTTGCCACGAAACGCTAGCATAGGCACCAAAGATGTATTTCCCAAAGCGGACAATAGTTACTGTGGGGCCCTTGTAGTTGCACCTAAAATGGAAATTTTTGGTATCCCAACCATGAACTGTTGCCTGGTAACATTTCCGCCACCCAGTAGATCCAGACTGTAAGACAGGAGCAAGGTATGATGCCAATTTGTCGATGTATGCTTGCCTCATAGTGGAGTTTGAACTGAGGATGGCCGAGTCCTCAATAGTCTCAGAGTCTACGAAAAATAGAAGGGAAACTCTTAAAACAACATCACTCATATAGATGAAAGATCTTACATTTAAGTGGCTCGACCCAGTATTTTTGTAGACACACCTTCATGTTTGGATCTCTTATACTTTGAAAAAATTGATCTTTATTGTAAAATCCATTAAAACAGATGTATTAACACTTACACTAAATCTGATAACACTATGATACTATGTAAATATGGGGGGGTCCAGAATAAATATTACAATGACGTCACAATTGTTTTAGCTTAAAATCGAATTTTAGCCCTTATACTACTACATGAGAAATTTCTGCAATTTGATTGGCTTAGAGCAGTGGTATTTCAGCTTAATTTAAAATACCTACATGTGAAAATTACAAAACCTTTGCGGGTAGTAGTATAAATAAATAATAGCATGATTTGTACATAATATTTGGTATAAATACCACTTGTGATATTTCCAAATTGTCTCAAATTTCACTCGCCTAACGGCTCGTGAAATCATGTATAACAATCTCGAAATATCACTCGTGGTATTTATGTCAAATATCACTACAAATCATGCTATTACCTATACTTATCGGTATTTTTCGGAAAGTTTTTACGCTACGTATACTTTGGGGTCTTTTCTTCTCTCCTTTAAAATTTCACACAAATCTAAAAGCGACATTTTGGATAAAAAACAAATCATCTTCATACATCCTACAAGCCGTTGAACACAAGAAGACTTAAGCAATTTTAAAAAACGTGCCAAAACGTGTGAATCAGGGTAAAACGCAATTGTAATTTATAAGGTAACTCTCACAAAAACAGCGATAAAACTAAAATTCCGTAAATAGATCTTCTTAAACTTTCCGTGGGGCGATTGAGGAGACAGTGTATTATAAAATCCCAGAATTTCGTGACCAATGAAAACTTTTAAAGTTTTCTTACGAAGGTCCAATTTTCTTTGGTTTGGGATTTTCTATTTCTAGCACAACATCAAATTCTCATGCAGCAAGCGATAATTTACTGCGCTTAGTCCCAACCCCCAATCTTTCAAAATCTTGGTATCTTAAAATTTCATGATATATACTTTATACAACTAGGCTTATTCATGTACTCCTATCAAAACCATACTCTACCTTTAAAATTTCATTGTAAATTTTCCTTACAAAGTCAAATTCATTCGTATAATACAAGAAACTCGGGTAAATTTCGTCTGCCTTTCCGTCGTTCTCGAACCAAACAATTTTCCGTTTTTTTTATCAAGGACCTAAATTTTACAACACCTTAAACACCAACATCATCAACGCTTCCTCACCTTTCTCCTTTAAAAGAGCACTTAAGGCATTTATTTGTAATAATTATTAGTATATATACTCCAACAAAAATCTTGGGAAAAAGCCTTTTAATATTCAACATTTGTAAACTTCCGTAATATTGATTAGTTTAATTTTTCACCTGATATTATATTGTATCCGTCGCCGTAATTTTTATGCCATCTTCGAAAAATTGTAATTGAGGAGGCCTAATTAACATAAGCTCTATAGTTTCTTTTAGGCCTCCTCGCCATCTCTTCCTACAATTTTTCTTTGGCATCTTTTTGTAATTATTGTAATCGTGCGGCAAATAAATAAAATACCTAAAAAAAAATACCCCCACTCGAAATCTTTCCGAGATATGGGAATGTTGTAGAAACTGGATGGAATAATAATGAATAGTGGTAATTTCTCCATGTTGGAGGCAGAAAAAAAACATCTGATGCAAGAAAATGCTCCAGAAAAAAATTCATGATGAATGAAGGCGTTGAAAAAAATAATTGGCAACACTAAATTCACCCAAAAACCCTCCCCCCACCCCATCAGAAATGAAATAGTTGGCCTGTTAATACTGTGACAGTACATTTGCCTGTATTTTTTTGTTGTTGTTGTTTTTCTGTTTTCTGATAATTCGTATTGAGGGACAGTTTCGAAGAAAGAAAATTATGTTGATTTAGAAGCACCAAGTCACGTTGATATTTTTTTTATGAAAAAATATCACGATACTTCGTTTTGCATTCTAGTATACAACTTTCCCCAGCGTCGAAGCAATATATATGTGGCGCTGTTCACCGACCCTATAGTTGTTTTATTATTCACCAGATCAGTTGGATAAAAATTAAAAAAAGGAACTTTTTGTAAATTAAAAAAGTCACTTATTAGGAACTTTGTTTACAATTTACAGACATTTCGAGGTTTTTGTCAAGTGCATTTTTACAATTTTGCCGCAAATCAAACATGAAAATAATTTTCTACCTACCAGTAAACACCGACAAGCCGAAGTTGGTAATTGTTAGTACGACTGTTTCATTTATCGGTCAAATTTCGTCTTCCGAAGTGTCTCGAAACGAGGCGCCATCTTGGCTCCGGTCGCAAAAAGGTGAATAGCCAAAGATATACGGGAGCCAATCAAAACGCGCGAAATTACTATTCACTGATTTGAGCGAGCGGTTCATAGAGTTAGAAAGTTGAGATCAAAATTAAATTAACTTGTGTTTTCAAGCCAATCAAAACTATTATGATTACGATGATTTCTATAATGATGGTGTATAAGTTCCCTTGTTTGTCATTTATATAGTTATTCTCAAACCAAAAAGAAATCAAATTAATATACCTGTCAGAGTTGATTCATAGAATACTTCGACTTCATTTGCAGAGAAGGAGGTTTTCGAAGCGAACGGATGCTGTGGGCAGGCGTACGAGTGGCAATTAACATAAACAGATGACCAGTAAACACGTAAATCGTGTCCGGTAGGATATTGATAGCGACCAAATGTTGGATTGTAAGAGTAGCTGTCATAGATTGCGTACGTGCTAGATTTGATCGGCAGTTTTTCTGGCTTGTGTCCCCCAGTGTTGTATAACGTAAAAAGAAATGCCTTTGAATCTGTTTTGTAACTACTTGAATATCCATACACACCTATCAACATTGAAAAATTCTTCTTGTTATCAAGTTATATTTACAGGGACCATTGCGTGCTATAAGAATTACCGTTTACTATAATGACCTGTTGTGCATTTTAAAAGACGATTTATGCTCTCAAAGCAACAGATCAAAATGCTAGTAACCGTATAGACATTAGGTGGTATTCTGGAGGGTACAATAAACTCGAACTTGTCTAGTTTTCAGTTGGGAAAGGTCGTAGAAAGGAATGGTTTGCCCGTTTTTTAGACTACTAGGGATCAAAAACAATATGAAATTGGAAGTGAAAAAGAAAAGAGTAATCAAAACGGACCTTGCTGGAAAAGAAAATGAACAACCACTAAATATTAATAATATCACTTGCACCAAATTTACTTTTTATGAGCTGCATATAAACACACAAAAACAAGCTTAGCCAAAAAAGGCAATTTTAAAAGTAAAGGACATTGCAAATTCTAGGACCAAGGAGGGATCATGCCACTCTTTTCATCATGAAGAAACTAAATTTGGAAACTTCAGTATGTAGTAAAATAGTCCTCTAGGTGACAGTAGGGACAGAAAGTAATTATTATGGCATATGCTCTCATGCACATGCGTCATATATGCAGATAATCACAAAAGTATGTCTCTCCCCTCCCCAACCGCAGACATAGATGCCTTGAAACCCAAGGGTTGAGGACCGTAGCTAACAATCTGACAGCAAGAAGATAGGGGGGCCCAAACTTAATCTCATATATAATTCCACCAAAAAAATCAAATGAACAGAGAAACATTTGGTTGAGAAAAAAGGCCCTACGTCCTTGTTGCATAAAACGGGATAGCTAGTAGATACGTACACGTGATCGTCTCTTTGGGTCTTGTGACAATTGTGTCAGCATGCACTTGACAAAGAGGCAGCAAGGGCAACAAAAGCTGGTACTCACGTTTCCAAGTATAGCTGGTGTACCCACCGAGGATGTAGTTGCCATAACGGACTATGGTAACAGTGGGGCCTTTATATGTGCATTTGACACGAAAGCTTTTTTTCACCTGATATTATATTGTATCCGTCGCCGTAATTTTTATGCCATCTTCGAAAAATTGTAATTGAGGAGGCCTAATTAACATAAGCTCTATAGTTTCTTTTAGGCCTCCTCGCCATCTCTTCCTACAATTTTTCTTTGGCATCTTTTTGTAATTATTGTAATCGTGCGGCAAATAAATAAAATACCTAAAAAAAAATACCCCCACTCGAAATCTTTCCGAGATATGGGAATGTTGTAGAAACTGGATGGAATAATAATGAATAGTGGTAATTTCTCCATGTTGGAGGCAGAAAAAAAACATCTGATGCAAGAAAATGCTCCAGAAAAAAATTCATGATGAATGAAGGCGTTGAAAAAAATAATTGGCAACACTAAATTCACCCAAAAACCCTCCCCCCACCCCATCAGAAATGAAATAGTTGGCCTGTTAATACTGTGACAGTACATTTGCCTGTATTTTTTTGTTGTTGTTGTTTTTCTGTTTTCTGATAATTCGTATTGAGGGACAGTTTCGAAGAAAGAAAATTATGTTGATTTAGAAACACCAAGTCACGTTGATATTTTTTTTATGAAAAAATATCACGATACTTCGTTTTGCATTCTAGTATACAACTTTCCCCAGCGTCGAAGCAATATATATGTGGCGCTGTTCACCGACCCTATAGTTGTTTTATTATTCACCAGATCAGTTGGATAAAAATTAAAAAAAGGAACTTTTTGTAAATTAAAAAAGTCACTTATTAGGAACTTTGTTTACAATTTACAGACATTTCGAGGTTTTTGTCAAGTGCATTTTTACAATTTTGCCGCAAATCAAACATGAAAATAATTTTCTACCTACCAGTAAACACCGACAAGCCGAAGTTGGTAATTGTTAGTACGACTGTTTCATTTATCGGTCAAATTTCGTCTTCCGAAAATGTCTCGAAACGAGGCGCCATCTTGGCTCCGGTCGCAAAAAGGTGAATAGCCAAAGATATACGGGAGCCAATCAAAACGCGCGAAATTACTATTCACTGATTTGAGCGAGCGGTTCATAGAGTTAGAAAGTTGAGATCAAAATTAAATTAACTTGTGTTTTCAAGCCAATCAAAACTATTATGATTACGATGATTTCTATAATGATGGTGTATAAGTTCCCTTGTTTGTCATTTATATAGTTATTCTCAAACCAAAAAGAAATCAAATTAATATACCTGTCAGAGTTGATTCATAGAATACTTCGACTTCATTTGCAGAGAAGGAGGTTTTCGAAGCGAACGGATGCTGTGGGCAGGCGTACGAGTGGCAATTAACATAAACAGATGACCAGTAAACACGTAAATCGTGTCCGGTAGGATATTGATAGCGACCAAATGTTGGATTGTAAGAGTAGCTGTCATAGATTGCGTACGTGCTAGATTTGATCGGCAGTTTTTCTGGCTTGTGTCCCCCAGTGTTGTATAACGTAAAAAGAAATGCCTTTGAATCTGTTTTGTAACTACTTGAATATCCATACACACCTATCAACATTGAAAAATTCTTCTTGTTATCAAGTTATATTTACAGGGACCATTGCGTGCTATAAGAATTACCGTTTACTATAATGACCTGTTGTGCATTTTAAAAGACGATTTATGCTCTCAAAGCAACAGATCAAAATGCTAGTAACCGTATAGACATTAGGTGGTATTCTGGAGGGTACAATAAACTCGAACTTGTCTAGTTTTCAGTTGGGAAAGGTCGTAGAAAGGAATGGTTTGCCCGTTTTTTAGACTACTAGGGATCAAAAACAATATGAAATTGGAAGTGAAAAAGAAAAGAGTAATCAAAACGGACCTTGCTGGAAAAGAAAATGAACAACCACTAAATATTAATAATATCACTTGCACCAAATTTACTTTTTATGAGCTGCATATAAACACACAAAAACAAGCTTAGCCAAAAAAGGCAATTTTAAAAGTAAAGGACATTGCAAATTCTAGGACCAAGGAGGGATCATGCCACTCTTTTCATCATGAAGAAACTAAATTTGGAAACTTCAGTATGTAGTAAAATAGTCCTCTAGGTGACAGTAGGGACAGAAAGTAATTATTATGGCATATGCTCTCATGCACATGCGTCATATATGCAGATAATCACAAAAGTATGTCTCTCCCCTCCCCAACCGCAGACATAGATGCCTTGAAACCCAAGGGTTGAGGACCGTAGCTAACAATCTGACAGCAAGAAGATAGGGGGGCCCAAACTTAATCTCATATATAATTCCACCAAAAAAATCAAATGAACAGAGAAACATTTGGTTGAGAAAAAAGGCCCTACGTCCTTGTTGCATAAAACGGGATAGCTAGTAGATACGTACACGTGATCGTCTCTTTGGGTCTTGTGACAATTGTGTCAGCATGCACTTGACAAAGAGGCAGCAAGGGCAACAAAAGCTGGTACTCACGTTTCCAAGTATAGCTGGTGTACCCACCGAGGATGTAGTTGCCATAACGGACTATGGTAACAGTGGGGCCTTTATATGTGCATTTGACACGAAAGCTCGATGGCTCCCAGTCATCAACAGTTGCCTGGTAACATTTCTTCCATCCAGTGTAACGAGGCTGGAGGACTGGGCTGAGGTAAGATGTTAGCGTATTAATGTACTCTTGCTTTAAACCTTGGTTGGAACCCAGGATGGCAGACTGTTCAATATCTCCAAGACCTGAAAAAAGAGACTGACATAAGATAGCCAAAAAATAGAACAATAAAGCGGAAAATGCAGGACAGTTTAGAAGAAACACTCAAGGCAGCCCTGGTAATTTAGGACAAAAAACAGTCGCTTAGAAGGTCGTTTGACCTCACGAAGACAGTTATACAGTACGTTATAATTTATAATATCATGGTATCCTTAAACGCGTGAAAAGCCGATATCTGCCAAAATCAGGAAGTTAGTTTCCTATTGTTACGAATCCTGTTCGGCATTTTTAAAACTATTTGAAAAACGGAAGGTCTTTTCTTCTAATGCAACTAGCTTCTTCCATCTCATTCCCCCTCAAAATCCAGTCAGATGCTCCCAGTCAGACGCGCGGAAGGTAAAACACGTCCACTCCTATGATAAGCCCAAGCTACTAGAAAGATGAAATACACGAGGATAGACACCATAATGATATTCAAAGCATTTCATCCGCTTATAATTAGTTCTAATAATGGCGGAGCTCCCACGCGCGCTTTGCGCGCATGCGGCAGAGCCCCATACTCATAGAATATGGTAAACCTCTTTTCGTTTGGTTATCACGTGATTGGCCGAGCGTACATACGTACGCGTCTACAGATTGTACTGGTGGGGTAGGGGAGACTATGAAAAGGAAGGGAGGGGTAGTTTATGCGGCTATTTAGTTTATGCAGGTTTGTAAGATTTGAGACAATGATTTGACCGAGTATCAGGTTTGGAACAAAATGACACACAGTTTCACTGGAGTTACCACACAATTTGCACAGTGGTGTCTCAGACGTCTTACCTATGCTGTGCTGGACCGAATTTGTTCTGAAAGTTTTATTACTCTTATTATTATTATTTGCTTTTATTATTTATTTATCTATTTATTTATTTTTGTCTATAATTTTACCTGCAAATGAATGACAATAAGTTCCATTCCACCCTGGTAGACATGCGCACTCGTAATGCTCGTCAATACTGACACAACTGGCTCCGTTGAGGCATTGATGGTTCACGCAAAAGCTAGCAACTAAGAAGAGTTAAAATAGGTTATGTCTGGTTTGAAGTATCATTAGAAAAAAAAAACAAAAACAAACAAAGAGGAAAAGGAATCGAAAAATATTGTACTTTGGTCAATCGCCAAAGTTAACATAAATCTTATATGTATTGCGTGAAGCACAAATAAACCAATTAATGTGCGATAGAGTGGTTTTCGTTGAGTGTCGTAAAACCAAAACCAAAGTAATTACTCTGGCCAATCACATAGGACACAGACAATACATTGAACCAATCAAAACTCGAAGTAATTACATGTGGCTGACGCAAAGCGCGGGAAAATGCATGCGAGCGCGTCACAATTGGCTTTGGTCTTACTTCTGATTGGATGAAAAGGTGGCGCGAATCTTTTAAGCCAATCGCATCGTGTAGAAAGTGCAAAACCAATTACTTTTCGACACTCAAATGAAAACCGCTCTATATACAGAGTATTCATGTACTCAATCAGTCGTATAACTAAAGGGTGTTCTCACTTCCATCAATTTTTTTTTTGTGCAGCATGAGCAACATTGGTGACCTCTTCGCGTGTGAAGATTGACATGTGATATGATTAAAAATCTTAAGATATGATGCGATGGGTGCGATTCGCGAATTTTATTATTGATTGTGGTGAAGGAGTATACGCAAAAATGTAGGGTAAAAAGTCTCACCTTCAGTTTGCATGTCACAATAGACCTGAGTAATCTTGTCAGATCTTTTAAGATCTAACCAATAAATACCACTCGAGGCCTTTCCATTTTCGTTTAAGTTTATTTCCTTGCAAGATTCTGCAGGTATTTCCTCAGTAGATCCAAGAATAACTGTCAGTGATAAATTAGTCAATTCCTTATCAACGGACAAAAACCAACCTAGTTATGTGACATAATTGGGGACTGTCTTCGGCCTATGGACAGTTTAGAGCTACACTATAATTTTGTAAGTTTGTAATTAAAATAGGAAAAGATAAACTTAACTCATTGAACGAAAACTCTTTCAAGACCAGGAACTTATTGATTAACTTTTTTTTTCCAGCACTTTGCGATTTAGAAGTTTCCAGAACCTAAAAAGCTTCCTAGACAAAAAAGGTGCACTCAGTGTCCTGAGTGACGAAGTAAACATTATCATGTCCAAGGCTGAATAGACAAAGATACCACCTGACGGATGACAATTTCTAGAAGAAGAGCATGTTTTAAGGTTGCAAAATATTTGAATGAACGTAATATAGAACGTATTTCATGCTGTTTTTGCAATACTGATCATCCCGGTAGAGCTTTGTTTACTGCACACAATCATTCAAAAATGGAGCTTGACTTTGACTCTCCTCCATAATGGAAGTAACATTTGCCTGTAACGAAATTACCGGGAAAAACACACACACACACACAGCTCCCTAATGTCTCACAAATTAGCTAGCGCGGGACCCTTTTTACATGCCATCTCCCCTAAAGTACCCATTTGGACCGGACAAACTTGCAAGACTTTATCTGATTTTTGGTGGGGAGTTCACTCCTTTTTGGAGGAGTCATCACCAGAAAAGTCCTTAGTCAACAACTTTTAAAACAAACTTAACCAATACTTTGTTCAAAACAGGTAACTATGTGAAATGTCTGCCTATGTAGCGCGTGTCCAGACCTTGTGAGTGATACTGAATCACGTCTATGACTCCATTTCTGTTTACCTTTTGGCCAGCGTCGAAAGTAGAATCTCTCCGCATCAAAAACAAAGCGTTGCGGTTTTGTTTCCCTGCTTCTGTTATTCAGTTCACAAAGGCCCTTCCTGATAACAAAGTTCAAACTCTGGCATCTTATGTCCTCCCGGCACCTTTCATGACATTGCTCTGGGTTTAAGGTTTGTAGTGTTACAAAGGTGTGACCTATAAGAGCTTTGAAAGTGATCGATTCCCGTTCTTCACATCGACCATGGGCGCTACAATGGCCTTCCGCCTTTGACAAATCAGTCAGTGACAACACGACGAAACAAACTGTGGCAAGCCATATGTATTGAGGCATCGTCAAGCAAATGGAGCCTGAAAAAGTAAAACTTTGAAAGTTATTTAATAATTTAGCACAGGAGTTGTATGTTTCAGACACATAAATTCAAAGAAATCCAAATATTATCAAGGTTTACTAGTAAAGTAAATTGATTGAAAATGCAGTAGTGAGACTTTACAAAGCTCTGGCTCTTTAGTGAACAACTTGCAAGTTTGCTTTATATGTCTTTTGTTTAGTCTAAAGACGGTGTAAGATTAATTCCGAAATATAACTTAATCCTCCTGTACCTTGTTAATCCTCATCAATTCTTGTGAAATTTTTACCAGTTTAGTTTTCTTTCATTGTGCACCTTCTAAAACTAAACTTCTCCGCGACCTTACCTTCGCATTATAAGAACTCTAGCATAGCTGTGGTTAATAAGTACTGAAATGTTTTTGTTGCTGAAAAATTTGCAGAATCTTCAATTTTTTTATGAGCAGACTAAGATTAAGCATTTAGTCAATATCCTGAACTTATCTGTTCAAAACAACTGGCCCAAATGAAAAAAAAAGCTGACAACTTACCAATGACGAACAGTTTTCTTATTAGCAAACTGAAGAGGATTCAGAAAACTGAAAACCTTTACTGGAAGTCATGGCAAACATGTCAAAGCAAACAAATCTGGAAGGCATTTTGTACCTGCAACAAAAGTCACCCTGAGTGAAACATTCTCCCCGTCCGAGTACCTGCAAAAATGCCTGCTGAGATATAAATTATACGCAGCATGTCCAATTCAATACCAAGCGAAATAAACCTTGAAAATCCCCGCTTGATATTGGATAACTTGATTTTTTAAATTACTTTTCGAGAGCTAATCTAACCATCTCAATGCTGAAATCTCTGACTGCCCGCTGTGCTTCACCGTTCTGTTACAGATGATATACGGGCAAACATCACATGCAGCAGTGCATGTGGTGTTTGTTTTTCCTTAAATGTCGGAACAAAATTGCAACATTTTATTTAATTACCTCTATTTCAATTTATTTTAATTAAGTTTTTTTTCTTTTTACCTTTTTTTTTACTGTAGGAGGTAAAACAAAGCGAGAGAAATGTTGAGTTTATTTCAGGAGCGACTAACTGTTTTCACAAAGACGTTACCGTTTTTCCGTATACATGTGAACTTTGTAAGATTGTTAATTATAGCTTACGGTCCTAAAATAAAAGTCGTGCACATGTTTATTTGGTATTTTTGATGCATTTTATTTCAGCCACCCTTAAACGTAATTTACGCCTTGTTACGATAATGAATATCGTCAATCGTCACTTGTCGCAGCTGCTGCGGCCGTAAGCGCACCAACCGGTGCTTTTTGCTCATCGTCCCTCTTTTCATCTAAAAAAACATAAAGGCGTTGCTACTCAAAGAATTAAGAATTAAAAAACTTAGCGAGATGGGCATTTGAATTAAGCTCTTTGAAAATATTAACTAAAGTATGTCAATAATGAGTTTCGAATGAATTTCGTTACGTATTAGAACCGGTCATACTTGAAAGAGTCGTCCTATTCCTAGAGCTACCGATACAGCTTTTTAATTTAAATACTTAATAACACACTTGGACTTAGATATGTTTTCATCTTTATTTACATATTTATTTTTTAATAAAAAGCATTTGCTGAGTTCCGACTTAGTGGCAAACTAACTCCTTGAGCACTTCTTCCGCCGAAAAATTGGAAGGTATAATGCAACTGTTAATAGCGGGCTTTTGCACACATTTTCCCGCTTTGTGACTAGCTTTCTTAAATACCTCTTGAAGATGGGAATTTTCTTTCTGAAAGCGTGAGAAATTTGGTTGTTGATGATATAAACGCCCCGGATACCTGACTGCACCTTTCGCATAACGGCAAGAATCGTCAGTCATTTTCTTCGTTGCCTTGGCTTGTTTTGACAGCATATCAAATAAAGTCGTTGAATGGCTTTGCAATAACTTTGTTAACTAAATAAATTAAAACAGGCCTTGTCACGCTAAATCTAAAACTCTATATAACATCGGTACAGTAGTCGAAAGGGCTCCTTAGTGCTAATAAAATGGCCCAATTCGAATACCGTACCTTCTAAAATCGCGCAGGTACTAATCCCAAAATCCAGTGTATTTTACAGACAGGTAGGCAGTGTTGATTAAAATTTCTCAGTCAGAGATGAGATTTGACCTTCATCGAAACTGTCTATTATAATTTCTCGAAGGCTTCGCTATTTTAGACTCAGTGAGCGCCGCCTTAATACTGAGATGCTCTCTACCTGCCTCTTAACATAAAATCTTACTAAATGATTTCAAATAAAAAAGCTTATTTCATCGTCACAATATCTCCATATTCCAGTCTTAAGACTTACTTGTTTACAATTCGTAGTAAACAAAGGCAATTCTGCCACAGAAACGCTTTCCTCGCCTCCCTCCGCTTTTGCCAAGCACACGCACACAACCGAATGGCTAAACACCATAAGTAGCTACTTTGAAATGCCATTTCCCCAGCCAAAATTCTCTCTAATAAAGAAAAAATTATATATCAAAAGAAAGGAAACTTCCCGTAGTTTTCAATTTCGGCGGTGCATATATAATACAGACATGCGCAAGCGAGATTTTGCCCTACCCCGCGCGTGGTCGTTTGACGAGTCAAATTGCTCTCTAAAAAGGGCGGGTTGGTGGCAAATCCTCAACGTTAATCCGCAAATTGTGCCACAATGCCTGAGAAAGGGGTAAATAAATCATTAAGATTACCGTTTCATTTAATTTGCTTGAATGCTTCATATTGTTCCTTTCTTGCTGCAGTTCAAGTAGAGCAGAGACTTTGGATGGCAGGAACGACCCCTTGCAAGCAGCAGGAGAAATGAAACATTGATCAGCAAGATTTAGCATAAAACTATTCATTTCTTTCTTCTGTTTTGTAGCGACAATGAAGTCTGTCAACTCAAGTCTGATGAGTGGTGTTGCTCGGTCCAATTGCCCTTCTCATAGTGTAAAACTTTTAATGAGGCAGGAATACAAAACGTCCTGCGTGTTCTATGGCACTAAGCTTGGTGGCAAGCTGCCTCTGATAGTTTAAATGCCCTGTTTACACTGTTTAACAATTAATGAATAAGGCTGAGTATCTTATGAAGAATTATGGAGATCGAGGAGGGTGTTATCGAGGCTGTAGGCCGAGGCGGATAACCGAGATCTCCATAATTCTTCATATGATACGAAAGCCGAATTCAATAATTGTTTTATTATTCACATAAAATAATTCCTAGTTTAAAAACAAAGCTAAAACATGGTTACTTTTATCGATGTTAAGTTCACCTTCGATAGTGCACGTTTAGGGTTGTTCAGCTCCGCAAATATTTTCCACATAGCAGATGTCGCCCTTCAAGTTGTGTTGTTGCTGTTATTGCCATATTTTTTAGTCTTTTTTAGCCGAGTCGCTTACTCTTGAAACGAGTGATGTCCGCCATTTTTTGTTTTCACAACCAAAACAACTCAACCTCGTCTCCAGGTCTTCTTGGTAAACAGTGTATTAACCGTGCAAGAACGCTGAATTTTTGACATCATTTCCTCGTTAAACACAATATGGTCAACAACGAAAAATTTTGGGCGGCAAGGTTAGCCTGGGTAGCAGGCGCTTGGAAGTAGTGGGCGAAAGAGAGAACGGGCGCGCACGAGGGGGACACGCGAGGGGTGAGGGAGCCACCTCTCCCCTCCCGTGTCTCCTTCTCGCGCACCCTTTACCGCCCTTTGGGGGGTGGGGCAAAGAGATAGATGACAGCTTGCCTGTTGTGTAATGAGTGGGGAAGGGTGGTGTGGTTGAGGTGATTCGTTCAGGCACGTCTAAGCTTGTTTAAGCCCCAGGGTTAAGCCTCTTCATTCATAAATAGCATTCCTAAGGGTCATTTAACACACAAAATAATATTCTACGCTATGGAGCAAGGAAAATCTCGATGCAATAGCCTCTTATCGTTTGCTGTGTTTGTCAACATAATACTGACTCTTTCGTCCGTCGGGTTCATGATTTATAAAGTGAGAGTATTGGAGGAGCGGGTTTTTGAGCTTCAATTCAAGTCAACACAGACGTTACACGCTGAAACCGGAGAAAATGAAGAAGACGTCGATATCATCAGGAATAGACAGAAGAGGTCATCTGAGTCCTTCGGTTCCAAACACTGTATCAGCTGCCACAATGCTTGTGTCAAACTATTTGGACTGGGAACTAAGGCCAAGGTACGAATCACATAAAATACAATGGAACCTTTTTTAATTAAAAGATCAAAATAATAGATCAAAACAAATGGTTTTCGAATACTGAACAAGAAATAAAGCAGGAGAGGATCAAAAACTAAGAATCATTTGAGTCTGGATCAAAAGCAGATATTTCGCCACTGTAGTTGTTTGTATGACAGGGACCGTCATTTAGTAGAGGGCGAGGGGGAGGAATATAATTTAGCGTGAAAGACAAGCGTGGCAACGCGCACGGCCATTAGAATTACGTTTATTATATAGGATTCAAGAGTTCATCATATATATTTTTTTAAATATTATTTTGGATAACCTTGTTGAATACATACAATTGCATTCTACTTAGCGCCTGTTTCAATATTTCACTGCCAAAGTGCTTGATGGAGTTTTGTAAGGTGACTTTATTTTTTGAGTCTGTGGACGAAATCCTATGATGTGACTATTCAACTGAAAGTTCTCTGCCTGTACTTCTACATGTGGGTACTTGTTTGTCAGAATTTTAGAAATGAAATTTGGAAATTTGGTCAAAATTTGCCTTTGGCCACATTTGGCAGTGAAAGGGTTAAATTACTTTGATGATTTCAATCTGATGATATATAGAAACGGGACATATCTAGACAATGGGATTATAGGTTATGCCGATGGTCGTAAATGTCCCGACCCCAATGTCATCTTCCAATTTTTTTGTTTGCGTCAATTTTTAGAAATGTTCGAATTAATTAAAGCTTTCGGGGCACCATTAAACATTTGTAAAAATAAGAACTATAAGGACAAAAT